AACACACACACACACACACACACACACACACAGCCCCTCCCTACACCCCACCCCCATACCAGCATGGGCCCCATGCTCCCTGGTCCAGCAATGCAGCTGGGAGCCACGTGGTGCTGGTGCAGTGTGGGGCAGGAAGGCAGGGAAATGGCTGGGGGTGCGGCAGGACTGGGCTGCTGCAATCCTGGCAAGGCTCCCCCTGGGTCCTGCTGCCCCTGGCTCCTATCATCTTTGACAGGCAGCAGGAACAGATGAATATTTTTTTTAATTTTTAGGGGCCCCATTGGCCAGATAGAATGGCCTGGCAGGCCACATCCAGCCCACAGGCCGTATTTTGCCCCGGCCTTGCTCTTCAGCCTTTATAAAATATAGGTACATTTGCTATCCTCCAATCTTCAAAAAACAGTAGCTGTTTCTAGTGAGAAACTGCCCTATTTTGTAAGCAACTATACCCAAGCAGCCCTGCCAGGTGGCATCTACCCATGCCCCCGTCCTGCCGCTGCAGCGGAAAGGGGCAAGGACCCTTGTTGGGAGCAGCAGCCCCTGTGAATGTGGGGGAGTGTGAACCCCTTCCTGGAAGGGGGGGTGCTTTGTTGCAGGGCTCGCAGAGCTGTGGCAGGCTGTGCGTAGCAGGATCAGGGTCCGAAGAGAGCCAGAGCCCTGCAAGCCCCCCACAGCACTGCCGTGCTCTGCAGCAGCTCTGCCAGCCCAGCAGAGTGGCCCCTGCCAGGAAAGGGCTTGTGCTCCAGGAAGCCATGATGGGCTGCTGCCTGTCATAGTCACTCACTTCCTGCTGCCTGGCAGGGCGGGGCCCAGCCCCCACTGCTTGGTCTGTGCTTGGGGTAAGTCCCCTCCTGGCAAGATGGCACTTATTTAGCCACTGGCCCCGAGCACAGGCCAAGTGGCGGAGGTGGACGGGTCAGGGCCAGCTGCTGCAGTGGGGTGGGGCACAGCCAGACTCCACCCAACAGGGTCCCCTGTGGTGGGGGCAGTGCAGGGATGGGGTTATTCCTCCTCCTCCTGTTGTCCAGCAGAGGGGACAGCAGGGGGCCTATTCCAGGGCAGGGAGCGCAGCAGCAATGGTGGGCAGACCCAGCTGCCAGTGGGAGCAGAGGGGAAACTAATTCTTCTCCCTGCCCCACTCTACCTCAGGGACCATGGTGCCCCACTGCTGCAGCAGCGAGGGGGGAGCACCTGGCAGACCCGGCTTGGATCCCTGGTGGGATAGAGAGGGAGGAATTAACCCCCTCACTCTGTTCAACCCGGAGTGGCCATGACCCCCAGCATAGCTTTCCTGCAGCCATGGCATGCTCTAACGCACCCCCGGCTCCTGGCCTGAACAACTGCAGGCATGTGCCTGCATTGCCTCAGTCCAAAGGGAATGTCTGTCCCATTACAAATGGGTTCAGCCTAGGCAGGTTAGACTAACCTGCAAAGGTTGAATCAATTTAGGCTCCAGCATTTGAATGTCTGTCCCTAGCCCTCCAGACTAAAGCTCAGTTCCCTCAGCCTCTCCACAAAAGTCATGTGCCCCAGCTCACTAACCATTTCCACTGCTCCCTGCTGGACTCACTCCAATTTGTCCACATCTTTTTGTATGGGGGGCCCAAAACTGGACACAGCACTCCAGATGTGGCCTCACTGCTAACTGCTCTGGTGCCAGGCCATAACTCTACCCTGCTGCCATGACCCAGATGCCACTGCAGCCATTCCCCTCAGGCTGCCCATGCTGCCCCACCACCTCACTTCCTGCCTGGGGGTAGAGCCGCAGCCTGAGAGAAACAGCAGTGGTGGTTGGGCCATGGCAGTGTCCTGGCATGCAAGCAGCTGGCAGTGGGAGGAGGCAAGGGCAGCACGACTGTTATTCTTCATGCTGATGGTGGCATGGCTGACATGTGGGTCCTGGCAACAGCTGCAGCAATGAGTCACCACCTTGCTCCGCCTTCTCCTCCATCCTCCTACCCATGGTGGTCCACCCACGCTGCTGCCCCATACCCACAGTGGGCACACAAATCTGGAGGGGGCATGTGCCCCTGCAACATATCTCCTATGCACCCCCCTGCCCTTCCATGCCTCACCTATACCCCTCACCACCATAGACTTACCATAGACTTACCTGCAGGGAGCTGCTCTCCACCACACTTGCATATGCACGCCCACATGTGGCACCACCTACCTGTGATCACCCTCCTCCCACTCCCCCGAGCAGCCCTTTGCACAGGGGTGGGCAAAATATGGCCCACAGTGGGTCTTTGTCTGGCCTGTCACGGGTCTCTTGATCCTGCCTGGCCCAGGCACCCTCCGGCTGTGGTGCATCCTGCCGCCCCCGGGCATGCAGCAGGGCTGGAGCAGCTCCACAGATGGACTACCTTTCTAGGCAGCCTGGGTGATGACAGCTCCTTCCTGCCCTGCGGTATCAGTGAGGAAGCACACCACACAGCCCCAACCCTGTGCGTGCTCCAGGCTCAGCAGTGGCAGCGCAGGAAAGAAGCTGCTGCTCAGCGCAGGGTAAGAAGCAGCTCCTCCCCTTCACCACTGCCAGTGCTTCCTAGTGTAGCCTCCTAGAGTCTGCGCTAGGCTGCCCTGCATCCACACCGTGTCACCACCGCAGTGGTAGCAATGTAGAGCAGATGCAGGATAGCCCAGCACAGACTCCGGGAGGCTACACCAGGAAGTGACAGCAGTGGGAGGGGCCGCTTTTCTCCCTGCACTAAGCAACAGTTTCTGTCTTGCACTGCCATTGCTGAGCCTTGGTGGCAAGTGCAGAGCAGGCATGAGGCATACAGGGTCAGGGCTGCGCATGCAGGTCCCTATCTGTACTGAGGGGCTGAGGCCAGCAGTGGCAGCAGTCAAAAGGAGCTGCTATCATCTGGGCTCTCTAAAAAGGCAGTTCCACCATGGAGCCGCCCCAGCCCTGCTGTATGCCCAAGGACAGCAGGATGCACCACGGGCGGGCAGTGCAGAGTGGGCTGGGTCGGGGATGTGGTGTAGGTTCCAGCTGATCTGCTCCAGTAGGGGTGAGTCCAGAGCGGACATGGGGTGTGCTGGGGCTGCGAACTGTTGTTGGTGGCGGGGAGGCAACTCGGAGCACTTGGGCTCTGGGCTGTTGTGGAGAGGGGGCAGGGGCTGAACGGCTCAGGGGCCCCATGTAGGGGCTCTCATGCACATCCCACCATACCCTCAAACTTTCCCCCACAAACCCCACAACCACACCCTCCTCCACACAGCCACACACCCCACAAACACCGCACCTACATCCTCCCCCACCACACACACACACACCTGAATGCCTCTGGGGGAGCCCTGTGCACTGCTACATGCACACCCCCCACCACATCCCCCCATGCACACCCCCAGCCACACTCCACACCCCGCAGTCCCCCACAAACCCCATACCCATACACACCTCCCCACAAACCTCCCATACCCACCCACATCTCTCACATACAGACAGCCACACACACCTACATCCCCCCACAAACACCATAGCCACCCACCCTTACCACCCCCCAACCCCTCCACAATATACAAGAGTAAGACTTCATTTTGAGCTATTATGCAATCACCTCTATATATACAACAAAACTTGTACAAATCAGGACAAAAATAATTTAATAAAATGTAAATACGCTATTGTCAATTGTTTCATTTTTAGTATATAATTTGGTTTGTTTCCTATTCCAAGATGGCAAACCCCTTTCCCAAAAGGAGTACTTCTGGGAGCAAGGGGATAGACTTCTGGTGGTAAAAGGTCAGGGGTTAGGGGGTGAGACTTTCAGTCCCAGGATGGTGACCAGGGAGCGGGGCGCCTGTCAAGGGGTGTGACTACCCTTGCAGCCCTCAGCTTCCCAAAGCTCGTTAAGCGGCCCTCCACTCGAAATAACTGCCTGCCCCTGCCCTTGGAGCTTTGCCAGCGTGCAAGGGGAAACCTACAGTTTCCTATGTTTTTCTCCTTTAAAGGAGAAAATCCTCATTTTCCCAATATTTTTCTGTGGCAAACGGAAAACCTGGATCCCTACTAATCACTAGGTCTCTGTGTGAATAGAGAACTATTCGATTTGGGTTCAGATGCCAGCGATTTGATTCAGAGCTCCAAATCAGTTTCCCACTTTGATTCAGCTGAATCGACTCTGAAGCTGATTCGGAGATTTGGCCCTAGGGTATAATGGGGGAAATCAATGAAATATCTATAGCTTTTTTGTTTTCAGTCCAATTTGGATTAAACTTGCAAGAATGGTAGCCCCTGGTGACGCCACAAAGCCTGCCAAACTGCACCCCAAAGTCTTGAAAGCAAAACTCATGTCATGTGTTTGTGTTAAGCCACAGTGGGGTCAAAACTGCAGGGATAGTAGCCCCTGCAGAGGCCACAAACCTGCCAAGTTTTAACGAGATAGGTGCAGGGGTTTGGGGGAAACTGCACCTCAAGCTGCAGACAAGCAAAACTCGTGACATGGGTGACACTGTGTGTGTTAAGGTGCAGCAGGATGAAAGCTGCAGGCCTGCTAGCCCCTGCTGAGGCCATGAAACCTGCCAGCTGTTAAGGAGATGGGTGCAGAGAGGTTCTGGGGCCCAGCACCCCTAGCTGCTGACAGAAAAAACTCGTGACATGGGTGCTTGTGCAACTGACTGTCTCTGTCTTGAGGCAGTTGATTGTCTGTATTGATGCTTTCCTCTCCTTAGTCTGTGGTTTTGTAGGTATTATTCCTTGCTCGTTAACTCGTTACATTAGCTAGCTACTGTGTACTGAGCTGGTCCAAATCATGATTGTTTGGTAACAGTAGCTTAGCAGCCAGGCCTGCAGTAACTTCAAAGACACCACCTCCCCCTGTGCCCCAGGACAGACACAGTTGCACAAGCAGCAATGTCACAAGTTATGCCTGTAAGCAACCAGAGGTGCAGGACCCCAGAACCCCCCTGCACCTATCTCCTTGACAGCTGGCAGGCTTCATGGCTGGCGGCTTCCACCCGCTGCACCCTAAAACCCGCAACTATCACCCATGTCACGAGTTTTGCTTGTCCACAGCTTGAGGTGCAGTTTCCTCCAAACCCCTGCACCTGTCTCCTTGAAACTTGACAGGCTTTGTGGCCTCACCAGGGGCCGACACCCCTGCAGTTTTCACCCCACCGTGGCTTAACACATACATGTGACAGGAGTTTTGCTTTCAGGACTTGGAGGTGCAGTATCCCCAAATCCCCTGCACCAATCACCTTGACACTTGGCACGGGTTCTGCTCTCATCAGGGGCTACCATGCCTGCAAGTTTCATCCAAATCAGCCAAGAGACCACAAAGTTATAAATATTTCATTGATTCCCCATTATACTCTATGGCCGAATCGGCGCCGAATCTTTTCCAAAGCTATTCGGAAAGCCTAAAGCTTCCAGTGATTCAATTTGGATTCGTAGATTCGGCCTCCAAATCTTCTCTGAATCGGAATCATGATCTGAAGCTTGCACAGCGCTACTAATCACCTTCTTCCCAAAGTGTTTAGAAATGGATTCCTTGAGGACCTGGCTCCATGATTTTTCCACATGGGCACTATATTTGCCCTCTCCAATTATCTGGGACCACTCCCAATTGCCATAAGTTTTCAAATATGACAGCCAGCAGCTCTGCATTCACTTCTGCCAATTCTCTCAGCATCCTTGAGTGCATCACATCCAGCTTTTCTAAAGAGACCCTAACCTGTTCTTTAGCCACTGCTGGTTGCTTCCCTCTGCCCCAAACTTTGCTGTCAGGTGCAGTAGTCTGGGAGCTGACCTTGCCTGTGAAGACTGATATAAAAAAGGCATTGAGTACTTCTAGTGACAGAGGATGCAGAAAAGCTTGGTTGCCTCCCCCACTTAGTAAAGGACCCACACTTTGACTTGTGCATTTGAAAGCTCAATTTTTCCTTATATTTTACTTAAGAAATATTACAAGGTTTTGAAAAACAACATGTGTGTTAGCAAGTAAAATACAGCAATACACTGTGCTGTTATTTCTGTTGCCCTCCAAGTCCTTTATATAGAGAGACTGTATTTTTGTTATATATTATTAGGTATGTCTGCATTCTGTTTGCTCAAAGTCATGCTAGTTCTCTCAAAATACTTATCTTGAATCAGTAAAACTATTCAATGATCTCAACATTAGGTATCAATTACTCACCTTCACAAACCATGAATGATAGAGTCTGTCCCAGAGCTCAAGAACTTGCTTTTCAATCACAGCAGTGTTATTCACTTTCTCTCCTAAAATCTTATGGAGCTGGAATATACAAAAAGTCTCTTATTTCACAGAACAGCTGAAAGCTGCCAACTATAGCTTAACTCAAAGCCAGAAGATCCCCATTAGATTCACTAGAAAAGTTCTTCAGCTCAAAATCAGAAAGGTTAGCAGCATATCTACAGAATACACATTTCAAATGCTATACTTCACAGCATGTTACTTTTTATCTGCAACAAGCCCTCTGTTAACATTAAACTGAAATGGGGAGAAATCCCAGTCAACATACCATTGCACAAAAATATGCCATATTCTTTTATATCTCAAAAGAGATTTGAGTTTTCTAGATGTTAAAATGTTTAAATGAGGGCACTGCAAAATCCTGCTATACTCCAAAAGGTACATTCAACTAGAAGTTGAGCTTGTATTGTACACTTCAGAGGTTTAAACTCCAGAAGCCAGTGATCTGTCTAACAAGGGTCATTTTAGGAAAATGGAGCCTTATCTGAAACCTGAGTAACTAAAGCTAGTTTCAGAAACAAACTGTTAATGTTCCACAGAACAACTAATTTTCCAGTGTCCTCACATGACTGGACACAAAGGAGGCTGCTAGACAGCTATACTGTTAAATTCTCAGAAGGCAGAGAGTTGCCAGCAGCCATGGAGAACAAAACTACTGAAGTCACTCTCTCCAAATAGAACCTCTTCCTCAACAGAAGTAGCAAACTGGAATTAACAGGTCTACAGCAAAATATTTACAGTAAGCAAACCATCAAGAAAATCAATAGCAGGCACTAGTATCTAAAAGCTGGGGGGGAAAAAAACCCTGTAAAAATGACTATTCAGTAAAATGAAAAAAAAAGGAGAAAAAAAACCTCAACATGCAAACAAAAATGATGCTTCCATTCTACCTTGTGTGTGATCCATTCCCGGCCATATTGGTATACGTTGTTAGCCGCTGAATTGAGAGCTTTCTGAATGACCTGGGCTTCAGGGAGCCAGCTTGTTTGTTTTTCAAAAAGGAAAACAAATAAAATTATTCCCATCATTTTCACACTTATTTCTTAATAGTTACACCAACTTAAAGGAAGAATTTTCCAAGTGATTAAGAAATAGCTAATGTTAAACATGTATGAATATGTAGGTTAAAACTAAAATAATTCCTCTTATAATGACAGAATGCAGATTTTTAAATCAACAATGTACAGTTCAGTGTAAGACATTAGTACAACTACATTTTACTCTAACATTTATTGACAATGGCTCTCGAAAACTGAACTTTTAAAGAAAAGATCCTGTCCCTCATTATGAAGTCTACATCTATGTACTTAATTATCCACTTGCCAGATTCTTATACTTGCTGCCTTCGCTTTTGTTAGAGATACCTCTTAGGGAATCTTAGCTTTCTAGGTATTATGGCATTGAAAACAACTTTCCATATATGAACTAAAAGCTGAACTGCTGTATACTGCTCTTGAACCTAGACACTGCCTAGAACTAGAAAGATGCAACAGTGCCCAAATTTTAATCCAGGTCCAAATCAAGCTGTTTGTTAAGAATTTCTCCAGATCCTGGAGACAGTCCTCCCATTCCCAGCCTCTGGTTATTTTAAAAGAATAAAGCCAGTCTTCAGCCAATACAAGTCCCTTACTTTAAGTCACCATTTTCTTCTTTTTACATATCACTTGAAAAAAAACTCTCAATCTTTCTATTCCACCCCAAAAAAATCCCAAACAACTGCCTAACAGAGCTCATTCTTCTTTCATTCTCCTAACTGTATAAGGGGTCATCCAGTTTTTCTGCCTGGGATGCACAGATTACAGCCCTTCATCCTGCAATACAAATGTGGGAGAGCAAATAGCAAAATAGTAATTGGAAGAAAACAGCTCAGCTCCACCCCGCTGCTGAATTTCAAAGACTCACTATCAGTCCCTGCCAGATTTTGCTAGCCCAAGAGCTGAAGTCAAAGGGAGGCTGTGGGGAAGGAAAGCAGCAACAATATGCATGCACTTCATCAGTCACCTTCGCATGTATGCATACAATAAACTTTTGATCTTAAGAACCAGATATAAACAGCCCCTTGAAACTTGTTCAGCCCTATTTTTTTTTTTTTTTTTAACTTCAGCATACTTACTTTGCCCATTCTGGGTGATTGGCTACAGTCTCATTGATCAAGCTGCTTGTGACTTGAATCATGTGAACACTCTCTTGATGTACCTGAATTAAATACAGAGAGGAAAAAGAATATGGGAAAATTGTTATATAACATGAAACAAAATCCACCTTAATATGCCTACATTTTCAAAAGAACTACTGATTTTGGGTGCCCAGCTTGCAAATCTTTTAAGGACCCAATTTTCACAAGAGAGACGGATACATGCTACTTTATAAAAATAGGGTCCCTTTAAGATTTCTCAATTTCTGTACCTAAAAAATATGACAATCCCACAACTAGTTACTTTTGAGAATTTGAACTATATCATGACACTATTTAGAAATGTAAGATGTAAACTTAATTGATTTGTGTGCTGCTCTTCCCAAAAAAGGCTCTGGGCAGTTTAAAATAAGAAAATAGAATAACGTATAAACAGGACAGAGATGAGACGAAACCAGAGCATCAAGGTAACCCAGAACTCCGCTAAACAACATTTAATTTTAGTTTTGTTTGGTGAATGCCTGCCCAAATAAGAAGGTCTTACAGTGCTCCTGAAAGATGTCCAGGCTCAGGATCTGATGAGCAACAAGAGGGAGGAAGTTCCAGAACTGAGGAACAACTTTGGAGAACTTCCTATGTGCTTCCATCTAGCAGACTTGGCATACTGACACTATTTGTAGGAAGTTGCTCTCTGCCTCCCTTAGTGATTGTGATGGAACATAAGGGAGAAGAAGGTATGCAAGGTCCAGACCCTTTAGGCTGCAAGACCTTTAGGGTCTCGTAGCTCAAAACCAGAGCTTGAATTGTGACTGGAAAGCTGTTGGGAGTTATGTGCACCTAGTGACCACCCCTGTTACAAGGTGGGTTACTGCATTATCTAGAAGCAGCAGCTAGTACAGAACGTGCAAGGACAGCCCAACACAGAACACGTTGCAGTAGTCGAACCTTGAGGATATGAAGGCATGGGTGACGGTGGCCAGAATTTTCTGACACTCCGCTCTGCTACAAGCCTTCACAACTCTACCTGTCCCACTGGCATTTTGAAAATTAAGTTAGTCTGCAACTGACAGAGCAGAGGAATTCTTAGAGGTTCAGGTCTCTCTGGACATGCGTCTTAGGACAGTGATTCTCAATGAGGGTGCCAGGGCACCTTGATGTGCTGCAAGATCCTTTGAAAGGTGCCACAGGAAGTGTAAAGAGATAAGAAAATAAAGGCAAGTTCAGGCTTCAGGTGCAAAATAAGCTGGTAAAGGCAGTCTCAGGCTCTCTCTGCCTGGCTGCTCCCTTGTCCCTGCTCTGCAAAGAGGGAAGCCCCATACTAAATCCATTAGGGTTAGAAATGGGGCTGAAATCACAAAAGTTATGGAGGGATGCCTGGAGTCTGACACGGTTAAGAACCACCATCTTAGCAGAAAGAAAAGGTACTGGAGCTCTTGCTAAGCTTGTCATAGATGGGAAGAAGTTTGTCTGTGGAACAAATTCAGAGAAATACTGTAATGAGGGGCAATATATATGGCAGGAAAAGGGGTGCGCAGCTAATGACAACCTTCCACTTGTCTTCAAAAAATTCCCTGTATACATTGGTGCCCAGTAGCTAGAAGAAGTGAGAGACATTTTTCCACTTTACATAATTTTCATAGATTTCATAGACATTTGGGCTGGAAGGGACCCCGGAGGATCATCTAGTCCAGCCCCCTGCCCCAGGGGCAGGAAGTCAGTAGGGATCATAGGATCCCAGCAAGATAAGCATCCAAATGTGTCTTGAAGGTGTTCAAAGTGGGTGCTTGAACCGCCTACCGCAGCAGTCTATTCCAAACCTTGGGGGCTCAGACAGTGAAGAAGTTCTTTCTCATGTCCAGCCTGAATCGGTCACAGTGGAGTTTGTGACCGTTCGATCTTGTCATCCCTTGGGGGGCTCTGGTGAACAGACGGTCCCCCAGATCCTGATGACCACCCCTGATAAACTTATAGGTGGCCACCAGATCACCCCTGAGCCTGCACTTTTCCAGGCTGAATAGCCCCATGGCTCTCAGCCTCTCATCATAAAGTCTGTTTTCCTGACCTCTGATCATGCGCATGGCTCTCCTCTGCACCCTCCCAAGCTTCTCCACATCCTTTTTGAATTGTGGAGCCCAATTGTGGAGCTTCAATGGGGGGCAAACAATTGAAACTGTCCATTGAAACTGGACGCAGTACTCCAGCTGCAGCCTCTCCAAGGCTGAGTACAGCAGGAGAATGACGTCCCGGGATTTGCTTCAGAAGCATCTGCGGATGCAAGCCAGCGTTTTGCTCACTTTACTAGCCGCAGCATCACACTGAAGGCTCATGTTCATCTTGTGGTCAACCATGACCCCCAAGTCCCTTTCATCTGTAGTGCTAACCAGAGTAGCACTACTGAGTCTATAAGGATGCTGCAGGTTTTTTCTCTCAAGGTGGATAACCTTGCATTTTTCAGTGTTAAACACCATCAGGTTCTCGTCCGCCCATTTCATGAGTCTGTCCAGATCTGCCTGGATCATCCTCCTATCCTCAGGTGTGGATGCTTTACCCCAGAGTTTGGCGTCGTTGGCAAACTTGCCCAGTCCACTTCTGACACCAATGTCCACATCATTGATGAAGATGTTAAATAGTATAGGCCCTAGGACAGAGCCTTGAGGGACCCCACTGGTCACAGCGCACCAAGACGACTGGCTCCCATCGACCACCACCCTCTGGGTCCTACTGCGGAGCCAGTTCCCCCGCCAGCGGAATGTGGTGACGTAAAGGCCACAGTTAGCCAGTTTAGCCAAGAGGATCGTAGGATACCAGGTCGAAGGCTTTTTTAAAGTCGAGGTATACAACATCGATCTCTTCCCCCTTGTCCAGGTGATAAGTCACCTGGTCATAATAGGAAATAAGATTGTTGCTGGTAGGTCTTGCTTGACCAAACCCATGCTGGGTATCCCTCAGGATATTGCCTTCAGCTAGTCTGTTAAGGATGGCCTCCTTGATAATCTTTTCCAAGACCTTCCCCAGGACAGAGGTCAGGCTGATGGGCCTGTAGTTTGTCAGATCTACTTTCCTCCCTTTCTTGAAGAAGGGCACGACACTGGCCCTCTTCCAATCATCGGGCACTTCACCAGAGCGCCAAGAGCTCTCAAAGATCCATGCCAGGGGCTAAGCTATGATGCTCGCCAGCTCCCTGAGTACACTTGGGTGTAACCCATCAGGGCCGGCTGACTTGAAGGTGTCCAGCCTGTCAAGGTGTTCCTTCACAAAGTCAGCTTCAATGGGGGGCAAAGAATCACCCTCACCTGGGCCTCCCTGACTCATAGTGGGCAGGGCCATCCCATGGAACTGGTGAAAAACTGATGCAAAGTACCCATTTAGCAAGTTTGCTTTTTCCTGGGCATCGGTTGTCAATTACTATAATGAGGTATAGTAAATAGACATCCCTAATAGTGACCCTATTTTTTCTGATATGACCAGTTATTTATGGATAATTCCAGTCCATAATGCTGCTGAAATGGTTAAACTCATGCTAACTATAACCAAGGTAAGTCTATCAGCACAGAGATAAAACATCTTTTTTTTATGAAATTATGTGCATTTAAAACACATTGACCAATAAAAGCAAGCAACTGCAAAACTATTTTTCTGTTCATAATTGTGTCTATCCCATACCATCATCACTCTGATTCAGCATTCTTAAAATAGCCATCATGCTAGGAATGCTGGCTTATGCTGGATGCTTTAGTTGTGTAAATATTTACTGTTTAAATCAGGGGCTGGCAACCTTTTAGGAATGATAGGCCAAACTAACTTGCATGTTTTCTCTCTCTCCAATGTCAATTTAAGCGCAACTGGAAAACCATCTCGTTTGAAGCTACAATTGCACGTAAAGTAAACTGTGGTATCAATATCCTGTTAAATTCTGAACTCAAAAGACATTCAGGTTTAAGTTTTAAGCAATAGATGGAAAAAGTGTGAAAAAATGGTGAAAAAACTAGGGCTGTAAATAGAGAAAAAGAAAGGAGTGCAGCATCTTGCATGGGGGGTAGAGATGCAGATCTTCAGTCTCTTTGTTCTAATTTGTGAGCAGTCTAAGGAAGTGAAAGCTAAGAGGACAGAAGAGCACTTGGACATCAGCACTGCTCTCCCACCACAAATGGGTGCAGGGAGGAAACTGGAGCTGCAACTCTCATAAGCCAGAGGCTGCAGAGCTGTGCTGACAATCAACTCTGCTCCCTCTGCCCTGTGGGTCACTGCAGCTCCCCACAGCAGTTTTGTAGCAGTCCTGCCACGAGGCATGACAAAGGGGAGCATTTCTGTCTATGGCTGAAACACTCCATTTCTGAAATGCTTCAAAGTGCAACCGTGGCTTTTCAAATGTTTCATCTTTCAGCACCCTAATTCATGTTCTGCTCTACCGTGATCAAGTATGCTACAAAATGCTTTACTAAATCAGTTCTAGAACAAAAACAGATGGAATTTACTATCTGTAAATATCTTAAATGTTTCCAAAATAGATTTAGGCATATACTTTGGTTTAAAATTTTTGCTTCTTTCAATGTTTATGAGTTTATATAATCAAAAGTCTTTAAAAGTCTGCATCACATGATGTCATATTCTTTTTCAATTACAGATTAAGGTCAGATTAAACAAAATTTATATAATTATTTTGATTACGGTGTGTTCTTTTTAAGTATGCAATAGAATAAAAATCCACATTAAATGAGAGACCTCTACTGGCAAGAAGAAACAGCTACACACTGAAAGTTAGCTGTTAACTTCAGAAAAAAAATCTGATCATGATTCTTGGTACATCTTCACATTCAAACATGAGTAATAAGGTTGATACAGGTAGTTACTGAAATAAAGGGGATGTTCATCTACATCTCTTGCAAATATAAATCATATTAACATTTTACTGATGAACAGAGATCCAGGTTTTCTGTTTCCCATAGAAGGGGGGGCGGGGCGGGGCAGAACACAGATTTCTTCTTTTACCAGAGAAAAACTCTGATTTTTCATTTTAATGGAGAAACACGTGGATTTTGCAATTTTGCAAAGAGCTCTCTGCAGGCTGGTAGAGTTCCAGGTCAGGCAGGGGGTGCCATGTGCATGTACAGGTACATGACCACTAGGCAGCCTGGAAAGCAGCTCCCACATGCAAGTCTGGGGCGGGGGGGGGGTTAGCAACAAACAACTAGGATACAAAATAGTTTTTGTATTCTAATATGTTAAGCTAATCTATACATTTAACATTCTCCAGAACTGCACTCTTCTACTCCATTTATGTTGACACTATGATGCATTTGAAACATTAATGTATGTTTTTTTCATCTGTAGGAATAATAAAAGAATAAAAACATTAATTATTAAATATTATTAAACCCCTTTAGCCAGGGGTAAGCAACCTTTTCTGGCTGCAGACTGGAATAACCCACCCCAAGTTAGAGGCGGGCACACAGCCAGTTCTCAACCCTATGATAGCACAAGGAGAACAGCTGCTGCTGAAGCCCCATATCTGTGGGCCACATTCAATGGTTTCATGGGCCAGATCTGACCTGTGGGACGTAGGTTGCCAACCTCTACCTAAAACTTTACAGCTCTTCACAAACAACTTTCATTAAAAAGTGATTAAAAGAACAGCTTTATGATTATTTCTCTTAGTGTACTGTACCTTTGCGGTAAGGAGAAGAGCTAGCAGAAGAGTTCCTATGACTAGCAAAAATATGATGAAAATGCTAATGATTTTATCAAGCATTTTCTCCAACCACACGATCATCTGCAGAGAAGAAAAACAAATCATGTCACATATATCAGTATACAATAGAAGTGATACTAGCCCCAATCTGACAGCCCTGAATATTAATTGGACTTTTTTTTTTTTAAATAACAAGACTACAATAATTGGACTTAAGTAACTAGCGCTTATACCCATGCTTGGATACAAGCAACTAACAAGCAATATTTAGCAGAACTAGGGTTATGTTATGATGCATATGATTTTCCAAATTAAAATCAAAACACTGTCATGAGACAAACAGCAAGCAGTTAGCAACGCAGATTCTGGCTTAATTTATTTCCTTCAAGCAGGGAAACTTACAGACACTCATCAGTACAAGAGCAGAAAAGTGATCAAGGTGGATTGTGAACAGTACTACCATATTTTCAAACTTGGATGGATGGAGTTCATCTCCTAAATACCTAATGAGATACCAGCAAAGCTGTGTGCTTTCTATATCACTGCATCAAGCCAATTACTTAGGATGCCAAAGCTAGGCATCCAAGTAAGACTGTACTGACCCAAGATAGCATCTGGAAAACTTCTCTACTATTAAAACCATTAACCATGACAAAATGATGCAGCATATGTACACTATGTTCTACAGAGGTATATACATTACAAATGACAATCACACTACTTCATACAAGTAAAATGCTGCCTTTGTCATTCGGGGGGGGGGGGGGGGGGGGTTGTGATGGAGGGGGCACA